CATCCTGGAGTCTGGGAGCACCTCTGCAGTGTGGCACTAGCCAGGGACAGGGAACACAGACCCCCTGTGCCTCGCTGCAGGTGGGAGACCCTTCCCCGGTGTGTGAGCGAGGCGGCAGCAGTGGGAGACCTGCCCGCAGCCCGTTCCTACCCGCGGTGCCAGGGACCACAGCTGGGTTTGGCACCACTGGCTGGGACGGGAGCGTGGACATGGCCAGCAGCCACCCCTTGAGTGCGGGGCTGCTAGAGATCCCCCTGGTGGGTCACTCCTTCTCCCCGAGCTCCTGGTGCCCTGCAGGATGGGACAACCCAAGATGGGGCTGTCATGTACCCGGTGTCCCCTGGGGCCAAGGAACACCCCTGGATGTGGCTGCTCCCAGCTCCTCCATCGCTGTGCACAGAGCCTGGAACAGGGTGGGGGGTGCCCCAGTGGTCCCCTGCAGGGCAGAGCAGTGTGGTGGGGCAGGTAGCTGCATCTGCCCCATCCCTGTCCTTATCCCCATTTCCAGTCCTTCTCCAAGCATCCTGTGGCCCCCACTGTCCCTTTTGGTGGCAGAAGGGGGAAGGACCCCACCCCTGTCCCTCGCCACGCCAGCAGCCCCACGCGGCATCACCAGCCACCCCCAAGGCAGGGCCGGTGGGTTCCAGGCAGCTCCCAAAATCCGGGGCCAAACCTCGCCAGGCCCTCGGGCAGGGCGGTGGGGCCGGAGGCAGCCGGGGGGGCCGGGGCCAAGCAGGAGGACGCCTCGCTGGGGTCCCTCGGTGCTAAACACCTCCGTGACGGCAGCGCCCACCCAGCCACCCAAAGCCCTTCCCCACCCTGCTCCCCCTGCACCTCGGATTTAGGGATGTGCCTGGGAAGGGCCCCCCCGGCCCCCCGGCCCGGCCAACACCGTGCAGTGACCGTGACACGTGGCTCCCTTTTTATTGTAACGAACCGCCGCAGTTAATAAAGATGACTTTGGTTACTCCGGGCCAGCAGCCGCCTCCCCGCGGGGACACGGCCGGCGCCGGGCTCGCCTTTCGCCCGTCTCCCGTCCCGTTGAGTCCGTGGGGAGGGACAGGGGTTGTCTGAGGGGTGGGAGAGGTGTCTGAGG